AAAAAAAAAAAAAGGTGTGTGCACTTGTCCAATCTAACTCATTTTTAGATTTCTCAAAAATACGTATTCTTAAAAACAGGCATGAGAAAACACAGGTCTCTGGTATCTCACACCTAGGTTCTCTTTGGCACAGGGGTTTGTGACATGCTAACCAGTTAAGTTTCCGCCCCCCTCCCCCTAACTAGTAAATTAAAACTGTGGGGATGACCTGTAAATAGTGGCAATGAATAAAAAACTTCAGGCCTCTTTTTTCTCCAAATTCTCCCACCACTATCAGTTTAAAGATGTCCTTACCACAAACCATGGTTTTCTCTTATTATCCTGCCTATACTTGTGTTTTAATCATAAAGGAATAAAATTACACTTGAGTATGCCGTTAGGATTACTCAACTCACCAGACTGAAAATGGCACATTACACGGTAAACTACATATGCCAATATTTGTAATTTATATCAATGATTGAGGTTGTTTCTCCAGTTATTACAATGACAGTGACTCCATTATTTCATTGATATTCAACATTATGCGATACCTCAAATTGTATATTCTAACCTGTATTTTACCTATTTAAAAAATCTCATATATTTCTCCTTAAGTTACATAATTTTAAAAAGGGGATGCTCGTCGTTTTCTTTCAGGCAAAGCTGAGCTCCTTTCCAATCACAGTGGGGAGAGGTAGGAATGCGGGCAAATTGCTCCCAAACTCACCCTCCCGGAAGCATCAAAGTAGCCTTCGGCCAGGGATTTGTTATAATCAGCGTAAGGATTCGGGAAGGCCCTTTGAGCCATGTCGCTGAAAGCGAGCCTGCAGAACAGGGGAGAAAGAGAACCTAGGTTGAGACAGGGCCCTGGGCCGAGGTGGGAGGCCGGCGGCCAGCGCCCAGGCGGCCGCGTCCCTCCAGCTCCGGGGACTTCGGGCGGTCTCGGCAGTCCGAGGAGACCTCGGACCCTCTGAGGCCCGCTCGCTAGGGCGCGGCACCTTCGCGTAAAGGATACCACGGCCCCGAACCCACAGAGATGAAGGGGACCCGTTTTTACCCCCGCGTTCCCACGCTCCGGATTTGAAGCGAGGGAGGCTCCTGTTTTGAAGCCCGCCCCGGCCCTGGCCTCTCACTCCGCAGCCACGGACAACAGAAGTGACACTTTCACCGCCTACTTCCTGTCACAAGGACCAATCAGAGCCTTCGCCGCCTTGAAGGCCCGCCCCCTTCTCCCTTGCAGTTTGTTAAAGAAACAGGAGAGCGATTTCTGAAGGATAGTACGGGGTAATTTAATTCCCAGGTAGAAGAAGTGAGGATATCGCTTAGAAGACGTGTACATGTGCCCAATATTCCCTACCCTTCCTTATTTTTTTAAAGAAAATAAATTCAAGTCAAGATTCATGAGAATTCCAAGGTTTTGGTTTTTTGTTTTAAAGCTTGGAGATGAAAAAGAAAACTTCTTTGAGAGATGAACATACTGATATTCCAGGCTAAATAAAATTGGGGAGGATAATGTCTGTCCGAGGACTTTACAAACGTTTTCTTTCATTTCTCAAACCACCTGAAGAAATAAAAGCATCACCACTATCACCATCAGCAGCAACATCAAAAACCCGGATATATTATGGAGAGGACTAATCTGTCTTTGGGGGATAATCTATATTCAAAGGCACTTGAGAGGCGATGTGAGTGCCCAAGGGACAGCTGTCAAATAGAAATTGGAAATACAGGAAAACACAAATCACAG